AAAGAGGCAATAAAGTCGGTTTTCCACTAGCGAATTTTCTCGCACGAAGCGACCTTTTTCCTTTGTCGGTATCACTTATTACGTCAGCAAGACGTGGCAAAATCAGTCCTCGAAAAACGAGGTCGGCATTCGGCAATGCCGGGCTAAATGCAAATTTTTGCCCACCTTAATTCAACCAAAGTAAGAATTTTTTTATGCTGATAGCTTTTAAAATGTCAGCGAATTCGATTAACTGAACACACTACGGTGTAAGGTTTAAAAACTGACGGGTATTGTGTATATACGTTAGATGTTTGAAGATCAAATTTCGCGCGTCTGGAGTTAAAATTTGGCTCCAGCTTTCGAATTTTCCGGCTAAAGGTAACGTTCCAGTTATATTCCGATTTCAATGATTCGTAAATACGTGATTAATAGTGCTCCAAGACGTGGAACATATTTTAAGAAATGCCGAGATGTGCCGACCTAGGTCAGATTTAGGTCGGCCCTCTTTTGCCGACCTCAATTTTGACGGTTTTGACTTTTCGAGGGCTGCAAAATGGATGCCGACAAAGGAAAAAGGTCGCTTCGCGCAGAAAAATTCGCTAGTGGAAAACCGACTTAATAGAAGGTAATAAAGCGCATTTAAACATGCACATTTACTATAGATGGCCATGGGCGTACCGGAAGGAAAAAATTAGGGGGGCGGAAAGAAAATTGCCCGACTTTTCGGATTCTGCCCGACTAGTACCAAAAAATTTTTTCCGGAAAAATTATTTTGGCGACCTCCCCCCTAAAAAAATTCGGTCAGTGTACCATTTTAGGGGTCAAAAAAATTTTCCGGACAACCAATATTTTTCGGAACATAACACAAATTTTCGAAAAATCACAAAATTTGCGAAAAAAATTTACTTAATTTTAGACAAAATTTACTGAATTTGTCCCATTTTTTTTTATTGCACACCAAAATTGCCCGACTGTTTATCGAATATTGCCCGACTGCCCAAAAAACTGGGGGGGCTGCCGCCGCCCCCGCCCCCCCGCCCGGTACGCCTATGTAGATGACCCTGAAGGGGTAAAATGGGAACTGGGATTGATCTATTTTTAGACTGGGAAAATGGGATTTGGGTTGCTGCGACTGGGATTTGGCCACTGGGAATGGGAAATGAAGTCCTCAAAAATGGGAATGGGATTGAAGTAATGTGAGTCGATTCCCAATTTTGATCCGTGTTTGGTGTCTTTAGTCATGATTTTTGTTGTTAACTATATTATTCACAGCATTACCTGCAAACAGGCATACTCTGGCGCCCGGAATTTTGGGTTTTCTGATTATGCGTGTCTCAGAATGATGCAAATGCCATTTCCGGGATTCAAATTTAAAAATTTTCCGTGCCTTCGGCACGAGCCCCCCCCCAATATTTCATAAAGTGTCCGCCACTTGCACACACGGTGGCTTAAAAGGTCTTAAAACTGTTTATTCTACCGATAAATAAAGGGTTTTTTATTGACTGGGATTTCAATAACTCGGACTGGGATTTCTAATAAAAATCCAACTGGGACTGGGATTTTGCCAAAATTTCAGGTGCAGGAAAATGGGATTGGGATCCCCCCCCCGACCCCCCCCCCACACTTCAGGACCCTTCACTATAGGCTAATGACTCGGCAAAATTACCAAACAACAGTCGGCAAAAGATCACTCACACCCCCTCCCCCACTCGAAGAGGGTTAGCGCCGCCCCTGCATATGGTTGGCACAGAGCAGGAAAATTTTGAAAATTTTGTGTCTCTAAATCGTCGGAAATGGCATTTTCAAAATCTTCTCTACCTCTTTTGTTTAGCCTGCGCGCAGACTATATATATATGTCATTATATAGTCTGCGCACAGGGTACTTTTGTTAGGCCCTTTCATTTATTCGTTCATTATGATTTGTGAGTCTGTGCTATCCGCGAGTCAGGATGGATTATTACGAGAAATGTTGTTATCAAAATATCGATTACAGATATTTGATTATATATATACGATTTCAAACACTTCTAGTTTCGAAATCAATTGGGGTTTTTTGGTGTGAGGCGGGGGGGGGGGACAAACTGGGTTGGGAACCCGTTGCCCCCTGCGGTCACTAACTTGTTTAGCCGAGCCTTCCAACAACTCAAATCTATAGGGTCTATGAAATGCAATCCACTGGAAAATGTTTAAAATCTAATAAGGTATTTACAACACAATGTTTTAGCATTAAAGATAAAAGACAGGACATAAGATTCACAAAACAAATTTCAGTTACTAGAATATCAAACCTCCCTTCTAAATTCCATGTTTTGCTTATATTTTAGAGAAAAGGGACTTTGACTGGAGGGGGCCAAAATGGTTGAGTGGGGCACCATGGGGGCTGGGGGGCTTTGGTCCGTGGTGCGTGAAATATTGATGGAGTGCATATATTAGAAAAAGGAGACCTTTAGAAATCAGCCATTATTATAATTTGAATCCTTGAGCACTTTTCTAAGCCCACGAGTGCGTAACATGCGATCTACGTACAGTATGCATGACAGATTGTTCCCATTAGCAGACAATGTTATTTCAATTTCTAAAGGTCTCCTTTTTGTGGCTAGCCCGTTCGCGGGCTAGCCACAATGTAAAACGCTAAAATTGTAAGACTATGCATGTGAAGTTGTGACGAAGATTGTCGACTTTACTTCGGAAACTGTCATTCAATGTTCAAGGTATTTACTAACAACTTTAATACTGGAAGAAGTGGAGATGCCTCACTTAGCAAAATTACAGTTGGTAACGCTGGTAGAAATACTCGAAGGAATTTTTCACAGCAAACGGTAAGTTAATTTTTGTTATTTCAATCGATATTTATGTTTATAATTTGTGAATCTGTCATGTCATTGCTATATATTTTCATGTCTGCTATAGTCTGGACTCTGCTTTTAGTCAAAGATATTTTGATCACGCTTCATATAAAGCTTTATAGTGAGTTTATAATACTGTTTATAATCAAATGGCTTGCACAGATCTTGAATTTTAATATATCATTATGTGGGTAAATTAAGAAGCAAGCCCATTGCTGTTTATATTATACTACAACTGCCCTATCCACTTGCTGCAGGTATATTTTAAGCCGCGTTCACACCAGCGGCCCAGGCCTGGCCTGGACCTGGCCTTGACCTGGCCTTGACCTGGGCCAATTGTGGCGCATTCACACTGGCTTGACGCCCAACTCCAGGCCAAAGCAATCAGGCGTCAATATAAACGTCCTTGTGTTCCACTAAAGTATTTAATTTCGCGCTTTGAATGTTTTTCCCTCCAATTGTATGACAATCATCTGACCAGTTTTTATCGTGAGCAGATATTGCGATGGTAACAGGGCCTCGCCCAGGCCAGGCCCAGGAAAAACCCGTTCACACCAGTGATGATCGAGGCCCAGGCCAGGTCCAGGCCACCTACATTTGCTGGCCTGGATTTCTTGACTTAGGCCAGGCCTGGGCCAGGCTCAGGCCAGGTAAAACCCGTTCACACCTAGACCCAGGCCAGGTCCAGGCCAGGCCTGGGCCGCTAGTGTGAACGCGGCTTTATATTACTATAGTCTTTAAATTAATGGTCACTGGCATCGCACCGACTGCAAATTAACGGGTGCTATTATTGAGATCTATTGCCGATTCAAGGATTGTTTCCCACCACAATTTCACACACAGTGCAATGGAAGCTCAGTCTGTTTATGTACAGTTGAATATTAATCTTCTAGACGGAAATAATTGAGTGAAAATGTATTTACATTCATTATAAGACCTCTGTTAGGTGCAGTTTATTTTTGGATATCTGGTCCAGATGTAAATAATATCTGATCTATAAAGGTCAGCAGGGACATAGCGACAGGGAGTGTGGGGGTGTAAACCCCACAAAATCAAGTATAAATCTTGACATTTTCAGGTTAAATTTGCATAATAAAGTTGGTATTTTTGTGAAATGATAACCATTTTTGATACAGTTAAATTTAGATCCAATTTGTTTGTAAATGTGCTTTAGAAAACACCAGAAATGCAGTTCTGGAGCTTCAAAAATGTAAACATTTTCTGGGGGAGGACCCCCACACACCCTTTTCTTAGGGAACTTAGTATGACAGTGGAATTATTACACTTCAGGTAGATTTTTAACATTGAAGTTCAGATTTCAGGTAAAATTCTCAGGCACCCCCCACCCCTCCCCCAATGACAGATGCTTTGCTACGTTCATGAAGATCAGTGCAATCACTATACAACACTGACCCTAGCAGTTGAGAGGATATATGAAAAAGCAAACCCACAGCCATAATGTGCTGAGGACAAGTTTCAACCTTTCTTTTCAGCATTTAATAACAGCAGTGTCAATTGAGTAGCATGTTCATACTTTTATAGCTAGAGTTAAATGTTGTTTAATTAAATTTATACCTGCATCATTTACAATATTTCATTTTTGTGATCTGCCAGTAAATACACTGTATTTGGTTCTTAATTTTAAACAATTTACAGATAAAAGCCCAATTCAAAATCACAGTGATGCATGACAAGTGAACACATATTCTGGACAATTTGCTGATAATATGGTGACTGGTGATAAAATTGGATAATATAGGAAGATCATGATATGCAAGTATCATCATGAGGGCAATACAACTATCAGACAATTTTAAGTTTTAGTGGTGATGACATAATGGGTCATTCCAGAAAAGATCCCCTTACGAAAAATTCCTATAGGAATTCCTTTAAGAATTTCTATAGGAATCTTTTAGGAATTCCTATAGGATATTGTATAGGATTTTCGGACTTTTCCAATAGGAATTCTTACAGGAATTTTGATAGGATTTCCTAAAGGAATTCCTATAGAATCCAAAAAGAATTCTTATAGAATCCTAAAGAATTCCTACAGGATTCTATAGGAATTCCTTTAGGATACTATAGGAATTCCTTTAGGATTCTATAGGAATTCCTTTAGTATTCTATACGAAATCCTTTAGGATTCTATAGGAATTCGTTTAGAATTCCATAAAAAAATTCTTTAGGATTCTATAGGAATTCCTTTAGGATTCTATAGGGATTCCTTTAGGATTGTATAGGAATTCCTTTTTGATTCTAAAGGAATTTCTATACACTCCTAAACGAATTCATATACAATCCTAAAGGAATTCCTATACTCTATAGGATTATTATAAGGAATTCCTATTTGAATGTCCCGGCACTAAACTGAATGCAAAGATGAGCAAATTATTGACAGTGCGCATATATTATAAATATTGACTTTATTTACAAATTAAAATATCACTTTGTAAAGCACACAGTTTTTGTTTTTTGGGGCAACAAAAATAAACTATAGTTTTTTAAGCCAAAACCTATAGTTTTAAAAAGCTATAGTATTTTGGAACAAAAACATAGTTATGAAAACTATAGTTTTGACTAAAAACTATAGTTAAAAAAACTATACTAGTTTAGTTGAAAAACTATAGTTTCTGAAACAAATATTTTGGTATACCATGCATGCAGCACATCACCACCTAGCACATGAAATTTGTTCATCTGATAACATTATTTTATTAATATAATAAATATAACAAGCTGTTTGCATAATAATAAACTATACAGCTAATTCAATTAAGGTTGTCTTTCCAAAACCTTAATAATAAGGTTGTCTTTCCAAAACCTTAAGGTCCGTTTACACGGGGATTTTTGCTGCGATTTTCTTCTGATGGATGTGAAGAAGTGGGTGAGTTATAAATGTACCAGGTTATGAAATTTCATAACAAGGTCATTAAGTAATCTACTCCTTCACATCCTCCAAAAGGAGAAAATTGCAGCAAAAATCACCCGTGTAAACGGGCCTTTAAACCTTAAACTCTGAGCATGCAAGGGATGATGGGTTGGTTTTCAAATATTTGGCCCGTAATTAAACTTAGAGAATTGCCTTTGCAGGAATTGTGTTTTCTACTGTGCATCTTCTATGTCTCTTAGGCATTCTTGCAAAGCCAATTAACCCATTGAGTGGCGATGCACCCTACTTTAGTATTTTACTCTGTCTAACGCCAGACGATTTTACTCGTCAAGGGGAGAGCACTGGCTCTTAATGGGTTAATTTGCTTATCTGCCCATGTGTCTAGTTAACCCATTGAGTGGCGATACACCCTGATGCACCTTACTTTAGTATTTTAATTACTCTATCTAACACCAGAGTATTTTACTCTGTCTAACGCCAGACAATTTTACTCATCAAGGGGAGAGCAATGGAGCTTAATGGTTAAATTTAAGAGTTTATGAGTCTAAATAAGCAATAACCAAACATACTTTACTTGCTCAGAGTTTAAGGTTTACGTTTTTGGAAGGACAACCTTAGTGGACCTATTCCCTGATGAACAAAATTTGATCTCGACAAGTCTAGACAAAGCATCACAAAATTAGTAATATTCCGACGTTTCGTTGCAAAATGTTGTAAAATGCGGCTAATATCTTATATAGCACTGCGAAGTTTCGCGTTTTTTCAGTTATTTTGTGTTACGCAAGAGAATTTGATACCTTTTTTCAGAAAGCGTGTGTGTGATGCTCTTTCAAGCTGTGATGAAATTTTTGTCATAGGTCCATTGAATTAGCTGTATATTAAGTAAATGAACAATATAGTAACCATATAAAATTATAATGTATAATTGTCAACTAATCTCAGTTTCTTGTTCAATTCATTGCTCTTCCTTCCCTGCTCTTTGTTGTCCAGCTTGAATTTTATTGCTTTTACAATGTCCTCTTTATAAACAGGACAGCTGATATTGTTGTATTTTAACATCCATTGCATGTTCTAGAAAAATGGACAATTTTTCGTGTTAAGTTAAGGTGGCTCCCTACAGTTATTCTTGTTTAAGCAATAATTCCGTAAAACAGGCTTATTCGTGCAAAACGCGAATTCTTTTCGACTTGGTGGTAATATTGGTCACCTAAGGAATATTTCGAACTAGATTTCGACGATGTCAATGTTCCCATGGCAACATGACGACAGCATAAAGCCTTCCAATTTAACCCATAAATGTGCCGCTATCTCAACAACGATGTCGGTGACCTATCTTTTTTATTTCATATATCAATAAGGAATGATGCTCTGCAACTGTGGTGAAAGTTTAAAAAAATTCTGTAGTGTGTGATTTTTTTAAAAGCGAAAAATTTATTGCGAAATTTCCACACTACAGATTTTTTAAAATTTGAAATTTATAAAATTTACCGCAAAATTCGTGGTCAAAATTTGAAGATAGGTCACCGATGAAACTAATGAGTAAAATGCAAATAAAGTTAGAAAATAGCCTCGTGTAACTCGAGAAATTCCCCTATTGAAAAGCGTCGCTGACTAGTAAAAGATTGTACGCGGGCGCAGAACGAGTTTTCATTCAGCAAAATCGAGCCGCAATGTTGTTTTTACTGTTTTGTTTTTGTCAAATTTTCGATTTATTTGAGTGCTATGGACAGCCAAGGATTATTGTGAAGGATTAAATCGATGAAAACAAGGTTGAAACTAATTGAATCCTGCCGTTTACTCAATCTATGAGCTGTAACAGCCTATTAACAGGTGGACGTGTTTTTTTGTTTCATGTTTGGTTTTGTACTTTTTGCTAAAAATGAACAATTAGGCTATGAAACTGAAATATTTTTCTGTTTACATATAATCACTTTAATCTTGTAGAAACCCGACTAAAAACGTGAACGTTTTCTTGAGAAGTAAACAACTTTTTAAACGTTTGTATGCAATTTTGCAAATGTTTTACAGTTGACAATGTATATTTTAAAAACATTAAAAAACATTGTTTCGTAGCTATTTTTGGTCTAGTGGTATTCGTATCACATGTAGAATTGCTGTATAGACTCGCAAGTAATTTGACACTCAAAACGAAGTATTATTCAACGCTTTTTCCCATTAGAAACCTTTCAGAAATAGTTTTTTTTAAGAAAAAAAATTGTTTTGTTTTGATCATGCGGTTGCGTGGGATAATTCACGTACTGGTCCCGCGAACATCCCGCACGCAACTGTAGGGAGCCACCTTAACACAGTTTCACATTACAGTGCATCTACAGCAGGTGGGGCCACTCAAAGATCTAATCTGTGATCAGGCCTATAAATAAATAAATAAATATACCTGATACAAATCTTAATTAACAAAAGTCCATGCCGTACAACTGTATTTCGGGTGTAAATCTGGTTGGTCTATGAGACAGAAGATGTTTTTCTGTCATTTGATTGGTTGGTGTCAAATTGAATATATATTGCTGTCGATATATGTTATAGTGATCACAACTATAACTAGATTCTTGTTGTCGTTGTGTAAAGTAAGTGAGGCATGAACCTTATATAGTTGAATACCATAGATGAATTTGATGGATATTTATCTGTCCTACCTGATTGGATATAACCCATAGATTGGATATAACTATCCAACATTTCTTGTATAATTACTCCTAAGGTATTAATAAGTGATACTTGGGCAAACAGTCCAGAGTCGATAAGTAAAATTGTCTCACATGAGACATACATGTCAGAGTTAAATATCAAAGTACTTAAAGTAGGGAGTGTTAGGGAAAATTGCCTTTCTTTTGCTCCCTTTAATTACTTTTTGCAAAACAAAAATGTCACTCCATTTTTAATTTAAGACAAACCATTAAGGTTGGGTTGCATGTATACCTCCTTAGGTATAAATAGGTGAATGGACAAGCAGTCAATAAGTAAAATTGTCTCATGTGACACATACATCAAACTCTAATATCAAAATACTTAAGTACAAGGTAGTGTTAAGCAGTGCTAGTGTGTTCAATTATTAAATAAATGTGTCTTTGGTATGAGTTGATATTACAATTTTACAGTTGGCTGTTAGCCAGTCAGAAACCAGAAATAAGATAATCTCCATAGTTTGTCATAATCATCATGAATTACGTAACATGACTATTCATATTGGTACAAGGTAATGCAGGGTGTAATATGTATACTAGGTTTGGTGATTAATTAATCCAAAACTACAAAGTCCTCTGGCAGTAATCAAACCTATGGCCCTGCGATTCCTGGTCCTAGGTCTTAATTAATTGAATAGTGTCTATACATATCAGTGGTGTAACTTTACTTTTTTGACCACTTACCCTCAGGGCAAGTTGTACATGAAAATTAGTTGCCCTGAATAAAATTCACTTGTCATCAGACAATGGCCACTGGGATACCTAGGTAGGGGTATGAATTAAGGCCCGGGCAATATGTCAACCCGTTCTCCCACTGCAATCAAGATGCCCAGCTTTTTGTGGCAAGGCAACTTGCCCAATCGGGCAAGCAAGATAAAACGTGTACTTGCCCGTCATGATATTCACTTGCCCCAGGCAAGCGGGCAAGTGTTAAGTTACACCTCTGCATATATATTGTATTATCGACCAAACCGAGTATTCTAGTCCAACCAAGTGAAGTGCAAATAATATCCTTAAAGTTGTAATATGTATAGTAGGCCTATGATAAACAGAGACATGGCCGTGGGCAGAGAGTAGGGATATGCTGTCCGTTACTGGCATCCGGCAAAATATAGGCCATCCAAAACTATCAATGCTGTGCCACAGATATTTATGCTTAATATATAAAGTGATAAAGCACATATTAAATAAACGATGGACTATTGTTAGTGAATCTGATTATATTTGCTGATGTTTGAGAACAATATGTGGAGCCAGGGCTACATACAGTACAAGCACTGCCCAGCTCAAATATTGGTATCCGGTCGTTTCGCCCCCAAGTCGATTCGCCCCCAGTCGTTTCGCCCCCAAGTCGATTCGCCTCAAGTCGTTTCGCCCCCAAGTCATAACATGTCAATTTGTATTTGTAAGAATACCCCAAAACTTATTGAATTCGATAAAGCTTTTTTAGCAAAATATATGAATTACAAACTAACGAACTAGCCCATATTTGACAAAACGTGACATTTCAAACGACAACAAAAGCGTGAAAAGGTTTCACAAAGTCGGTGATCAACGCAGTGATTAGTTTTTACAACGGATGAACGGAACAATTCCCGAAACGGTGATTAATTTTTGACAATAGCCGAACGAAACAATTCACAGCTTTCACAGTTTCAAAATGAAAGAATATTAAATTATAAATAGAAAAATGACTCAATCCCGGTATTACTCATCCTTCAAATATGTATGGAATATGTATGCGAAGCGTTTAATAGGGAAGCATTTCACTTCAGCTGACTTGCGAGGCTATGAGTACTGAGCACATCAAAATCTTCCCTGTAAAGTTTAAAAGATCTTTGCATTTTGCGTTCACAACTGTTGCAAAGTAAGAATGTCCATGCTGTAAAACGATAAGGAAAATAAATAATGTTACTTAGTTTACCTTCTGTTATTTTGGGGGCGAAACGACTTGGGGGCGAAACGACTTGGGGCGAATCGACTTGGGGGCGAAACGACTTGTATTCCAAATATTAATCTTGAAATATACAAAGACAACATTTGAGGCACTGTCTCAGCACTATCATTGCAAACATCACTTTATACAAATGAAGCTCTTTATAAACCCACTATTAAAAGATTCTCCCCTTGACAATAAGGATAGATTTATATTGACACACTAAAAATAGCATATTAAATGCTGTCGTTCTCTCTGATTCCAATCCTTATTGAAGTACTAAAATGCAAACATATCTTTAAAAGCATTCGGATGTTTAATAAATATTATTTCTTATAATTATTTACCCAGCTTGACAATAGTCTTAACTCCTACTCTTAAGCAAAGTGCCAAGTTATGCCAAAGAAAATATTGCTAAATTGTTAATAATAGTGTGAAATTTAGTATAGAATTCACAATAATAGGTTCGAATTTATATTTCATTCTTTCTTTGCTGCCAGAAACCAACATTTTGTATGTTTTATATGCAAATTGAACGCGGCAAATTCAAACATTCAACAGAATTTTACATATGGCCCACATGGCTCAAGTTAACAATCATATTCACCACATTATTTCGCAATTAAAGGGCTTAAATAATAAGTCAAATACAAAAGTATTCTTACCTGTGACATCTGAATAACATGTTAAGAACTTTCCGATTCCTTTCCCACCGCTTGGATTAAAAATATCAACGAAATATTCCAAGCACCGCAGTGACCATACCAAATATTTTTTATCACAAATAAAACGATGCTATCCCATGAAGCTTTGCGCTCTGAAACGTAAACTAGTCACCAGGGCGTCCAGTTGAAGCGCGAACTATTGCTGTTTGGGATAAAATTCCAATAGGAATGCTTGCATTAGGGACCATCAGGAATTTTATAATATAGAAATTCTAGCTAGCTAAACACATTGAGACTAAAAACATAACCACTGAGTATTTTAGCAAAATATAAAACAAGTGCAACTCCAGTTACAGGTCGATAACAATATATATATCGATGTAGATCGATATCGATCATTTGAGTTACACTTGTTTTGTATTTTGCTATAAAAAAACAGAGTAAAAATATATAATAGCAGCAATAGGATTCTTACTATTCTATATAACATCATATACGAATTCCTATAGGAAATTCCTACAGGAAAATTCCTATAGGAAATTCCTATAAGAAATTCCTATAGGAATTCCTATAGGAAATTCCAATATGAATTCTATTCCTATAGGATATTCCTATAGAAAGTCTATTCCTATAGGATACTATAGTAATTCCAATAGGAAATTCCTATAGGAATTCTATTCCTATAGGATCCTATAGGAATTGCTATAGGAAATTCCTATAGGAATTCTATTCCTATAGGATCCTATAGGAATTCCTATAGGAAATGGCATTTCCTATAGGAATTTCTATAGAATCCTATAGGATTTTTTCGTAAGGGTCCATACTCCCCCCACGGAGGAAATTTCTGCTGTCCGGAGGGGGAGGGGAGACAAAATTGTTTCTGATAATAGTAAATGTATTAGGACATCACAAGGGGGTAGGGGGATTAACTTTCAATTTCCTCCATGGGGGTGGTATGAATGTTTTCTGGAATGACCCAATTGATTGGATGAGTTCATTATAAATTCCGATGCTTTTAGATCTTATAAATTACAATAAATAAAAACTGTTTAGAAATCTAGCATTAAATATTATATTAATGAAGAACTTTGAATTTAACCCATTGAGCCGCAATGCGCCCCATTGCGCCCTACTTTTTTTTACTTGTCTAACGCCATTTTACTTGTCTAACGATTTTACTCGTTAGTGGGGAAGCTCTGCAGCTTAATGGGTTAAAGGTTTTATGAAAGGTTTCAAGAAAAGCTAATAACTTGTAAACCAGACACCAGAATATATTTGTAACAAGAAACCCATGTAATGAAATCTTAGTGAATTACATATTAGTGAAATTAGTGAATTACATATTAGTGAAATTTTGAAAAACAATAAAAGTGACATCATTAGTTGCTGCATATATGTTTATTATTAAAGCAAAACATTTATTAATTAAATTGTGACTCAATAATATTGTTGGCTGCACCACTGCTGACAAGTACCAACCATTGCTTTTAAATCGAGTGATTGTAGCCATTTCTTGGCATTGTAAGAAACATACTCATCTGTTTTATTTTGAACATTCTTCTATTGTAATTATTAATTTTGTATCACAATGAATGTTTGTGATGAATGTTCATGACGATGTGAACTCCAGCTGTATTCGACAGGCTGAATAGTGAATAGGCTAGCCACATGTACGCAGTGCGTACCTATTTTTCTAATATATGCACCCCATCACTATTTCACGCACTATACGGTTCAGCATATGTGCAACTGAAAAGGCATTCAAATTTTAACAACATGCTTGATTTCTAAAGGTCTCCTTTTTTTATATACACCCTACCGTGTGTCCGATCCATTTCATATCGTTCCAGAGCAGTGTTCCATGTTCTAGAACAGTAAATGGAGCACAGGAGCAGCCTGTAAGAGTAGCCTATCCACTTGGATATTTCCGGTCGCAGTTCGGAAATGCATCTCAAAGCTATTCAGTGCCACTTAAAGAGAATTTCTGATTATTTACAATTTTAAACTTAATATTGAAACTGTACAGTAGAGCGTTCGCACATGACATCACAGCCGCCGTGTTGGTGTTCCAATTCAAAAGAATTGTGTTGAGTAAGTTGGTTTTAGGCCCTTGGGAATTGAAATCGAATTGCTAATAGTCATATTATCCTACATCTGACAATCAATACAGGATAGTCACAAAAAAACGAAAACTATTGAAATAACGTATTGTTAGAATTTGGATGCCTCAGCACTCTGCTGAACCCACACGTGCATCAAAGCTTGACGTAAGTAAATTTTATGCATAAAGAAACCGTTTAAGAAGCTGTTTTAAATTCCCAAGAGCAGAAAATCGTGCGCTTTACAAAGATATTTTAATTTCTTAATAAGTCAATATTTAATATATGCACCCTTGTCAATATTTTATGCATCTTTGCGTTCAGCTTATTGCTAGGGCATTCAAATTTTAACAATCAGTGGCGTGCTGGGTACTAATTTTCTGGGGGGGCCAGTGGGCTTTCAACTAATATGCGCCCCTATATTGTAACGCTTAATAAACGAGTGTCGAAGGCACGAGCCGAGCGCCGCAGGTGCGAGGTTTCTCTAGGGGGTCCGGGGGCATACCCCCTCGGAAAATTTTTGAATTTAGGGTCTCTGAAATGCCATTTCCTGGACTTTGGGGGGACGGTTTGACAGAAATCTGATGGTCAGGAAACGGCATTATAACGTGTTGAAATTTGCAATTTGGTTAAAATTTAGTAGTAGTATTTAAATTGGGCAATGCTAACTCAGTTCCAGCGATTAATCTAATCCCAATTCTATTCTCTGATCTCGTGATCTGAATACATTCACAACATACAGCTCTTTTATACAATAACACACGGACCCCACGCATATGCACTTTAATGTTACCTTGCTTGACTGCCAAAAGGGCGCGTTTCAGCATTATCTTATCACTTACTACTCATGAGTCATGATGTTTCTTGCACAAACAACTAAATTGCGTACATAACTTACATTATCATAACTATCTAATTTGCGCCGCTCTCGTGATTCGTGAAGCATAATACCTTCATAATATAAGGGCATAATACCAGCAAAAAAGGG